ATATGATACCTATGTATACATGATTTTATGCTTTGATTATTATGGTAATATTTCTCACCCTTCTGCTGTTTTATAATGCTCTATGAGGCATTGCAGATTAGGTTGCTGGAGGCCTTTATGAAGTTCTGCTTGTAGTTCGAGGTCGCTACGTGTGTAGCGATTTAGTAATTATTTATGGGTCGAGTCATGCTCTGGTCGTGTAACACGGGGATCGATTGCTTATGTTTTAGGATTACATTATGTAACCTAAGTTATGTTTTCATATTTGGAGTAATTGAGATAATGAGATGTTGGCCTTAGTGCCTAGAGTTGTTGATTTTATTTGATGAAAGTAAATGTTTCTTTTAAAGGATTTTCATTAATGAATCCGCTGCTAAGTGGAAAGGTGTTTATGAGCATGACAGATTGTTTTAATGTGGTGCAAGTTTTGTGTGATGCCCTTTTATGGATGCATGTTAACTTTTACTCTGATTATGCATATATTATTTGCGGGGTTTAGAAGGGTGTTACAGAGGTAACATACAACGTAAAGGGTGAGATATCAACAATATAACATAAGGCATGATAAAAGTCATGTCAGGATTATATCACAGCAATTAAGATTCTCGCGGCTTTATAAATATCATAAATAATGACTACACTGATTCATCGCTCACATATACCACGACAAGCAAGATATCTCATCAACATGTCATCACGTGCGAACACAACAAAAATGCGACTCTATGTGACTCAACTGTGCATATGCATGTGGTACCATTTTGGGAGACAACACTCCACAATTATTCGGGAGACTCACTCCATAATTATTCGGGAGACTCACTCCACAATTATCCGGGAGACTCACTCCACAATCATTTTAATTTGTCATCAAAGACACAACCGTCGCCAATCCAGGGCAAATGATATGCTATGAGATGCAACTATTATGGACTATAACACAACAACAACAATTGTGCAACAACCGTGCAACAAGGCATCAAGCCTACAACCAATTATCCATAACAGAAACATCGCATTTCACATACATCATGTACTCACCACTTCAACCTGTTCATGTCAGAGAACAAGTAACAATATCATTCCTACAAATAAGAATCCAACACATTTTCGCAGAAAACAATTAAAAACAACACCGTCTCTACAATTGAGAACTCAACAACATTTTCATGTCAGAGAACAACTAACAACATCATTACTACAAATAAGAACTCAACGCATTTTCATATACTTTCATACGGGTAATATAACTACAACTTCTAATTTAATTAAATAGGGACATAATAACAACACCTTCTTAATAAATGGGAAAATAGCGTGTGTCGGCACCGTTTCCCAATTTCCCCCAAAGATAATGACATAACACACTCATTCATACACAGACAGGCATTAACCCTTAGTATTTCTCAGGCACAGGTAAACATTAACCCTTAATATTTCTTCAACTTATGGGAAATAACCCCATGATTCAATTCCCTACCTGATGTCGATCAAGTAAGATCATAATAACAACCTTTCCTCAACAACTGGGAAATTAGCGCGTGTCGGCGCCGATTCCCAACATTACTACATAAAACTAATGACATAACACTAATTCAGTGTAGACAAACATTAACCCTTAATATTTCTCAACCCACGGGAACATTTACTACGGGAACATTACTACGGTAACATAACTACGGGAACATTACTACGGTAACATCACTACGGGAACATTACTACGGGAACGTTACTACGGTAACATAACTACGGGAACATTACTACGGGAATATTAACCCTATGATTCCATACCCTTCATGAAATCCATCATACCCATCGTTATAGAATTGAACCACACCCTTACCTTTGGAATCGAGGTCAACTCTACGCTTCTGGTTCCCGTTAGCTCTCCAGCGACTCTTCTGCAACTACCGTGAATTCTCTCCGGTGGTTACTTCTTATCTTCTCAACTTCTCTCGGTCACGATCTCTTTTTCCTTTGATTTTGGTTCTGAGCAGTTTTAACGTGTTTCCTCTTTCTCCCAAAGTCCCTCTTTTATATTTACAATAATAATAATAATAATAATAATAATAATAATAATAGGAGTTTCTCCCAAAGTCCCATTGAAAACTCCACGTAAGCGTGTCCTTAACAATTTCAACATAGAAATAGGAGTTTCTAACCTCCCTTTCGAGGGGAACTACAATTACTCTGATTCCATTCCCGTCAGGATATGTAGGCACAAGATGCGATGTCTTGCCGAGTAAACTTAGGACTAACCCTTAGGTCTTTAGGTCACTCTATCCCTTAGCAATATATATTAAAGCAGATAATAAAATAAAAAAACATACATTAAACAAAAGGTTCCTGTAGAGTACTACAGAAGTTTAGGGTGCTAGTACCTTCCCTGAGCTTAACCAACCCCTTACCTAGATCTCTCCCCACATTGTCTTTACGATGCAAAATTAGGTTTTCCTCTTTTGACCTTTTCCTTCGGATAAATCAAAGAGCGGTTGTGAACTAAAGCTGCGATTCAAATTAATTAATAATTTGATATCATATTCTAACCGCAACACATCCATTATTCGCCTTCAAATTAAACAATTTTAACACGGCTGACAAACATGTAAAATTTGTGTATCCTGGGTACAAAGGTTTATCCTTGTCACTGCATAAAGTATCATATGCATGTGCTCTCTTAAACGAATCTTGTCCAATATCACGCATCATGTCTTCCAAATGATCATCCATTTCTACGCTAACATTATCTCTTTGGGACACATTTGAATTTTCTAATACTTCACCGTGCCATATCCATTGTGTATAACTTTGACAAATCTCTTCACAAATTAGATAATCCATAATTTCTTTCTTATTAAATTTTGGTTCTCGATTTGCATAACGAACACATGGACATAGATAAAGCAGATGATTACTTTTTTCAACATTACTTTTAGGAGGAGGGAGATTTTTTTAGCATTACTTTCAGCAAACTGTAGAAACTCCATCACTCCATTTTCGTACTCAACACTTAATCGATTAGCTCTCATCCAACTACGATCCATACCTATGTTCCGAAATAGATAAAAAAATTCCTATAATAGCTAAAAAATTCTATTACTCAAGAATAAAAATTCTATTCATAACAAAAACTATTCCTAACAAATTTCTATTACTTAAGAATTCTATTACTCAATAGTAAAATTTCTATTTCTAACAAATTTCTATTACTCAAGAATAAACCAGTGTCAGAAACCAAAAATACCATAAACGAGTGTCAGAAACCAAAAATATCAGAACTAGGAAATCAAGAATAAATCAGTGTCAGAAACCAAAAATATCAGAACTAGGAAAAAAAACCAGTGTCAGAGATGCAGTAATATACAGTTACCGTAATAAAAAACTAGAGAGGAAACCGAAGAATTGCGGTAGTGAAGAAACTAGCATATGCAACAAAGGAGAGGAAGAAGATGAAGTGATTCGGCGGCGATATGAGAGAAACAACGTTTCTGAAAAGACGGAACGGTGCGATGAAGGATTCAACGGCGCGATGAAAAGACGACGACGCGGTGAGAAGACGGTGGGGAAAAAGGAACAACGGCGGCAGAGAGAAGAGAGAAACAGTGCACGAGTGTGTAGAACAGCGGCGCAGAGAGAAGGGAGGAACATCGTTTCTGAAAAATAAAATAATGAATTATGCGTTTCTGAAAATTTTATATATAAGGGTTTTTTACATTGGTCCATGCCCCAACCGATGTAAAATGTTAGTTCAATACATTTTACATCGGGCCAATCAACATAACCGATGTAAAAACAAATTAATTTTTTTTTAAAACCTTTTACATCGGTTTTAATATACTGATCGATGTAAAAACTTGTTTTAATTTTTTAATTTATTTTTTCCATCCGTTAACTTTTTCATATCGGTTTCGTATCCAGCCTCGATGTTAAATCCTTATAGCAAATTTTCTAAATAATTACAAAACTGTCACCTTGTTAAAATTTGATGTAAAATCCTTTTTCAATTACTTTTTACATCATATCTTTGGAAACCTGATGTAAAATTATTTAATCTAATGTCTTATTTTTAGTAGTGTACGTACACATTCACTGTTGTTCCAAAGGCATGAGTATACCAGAGAGAATATGCAAAAATTACAACATAATTGATGACTGACAGTCTCATAATTAAAAACATCAATTAAGAGAAACTAATAAATAACAAATTAACAACACTTAAAATACACACAGATACATCTAAATTTTTTATTTGGATGTCTCATAATTCTTGTTTTCCACTGAGTAAATATGATATTTATACTACTTGACTTACCCATAAAGATAATGATGGCCACACACACATAAACACAACTCAAAAATTCAATAGTGAAAAGAGAGACAACTTACAATCTAAAGATTCAAAGTTAATGTGAAAGAGAAATTTGTTGTAATTACCAAAAAGAGATAGATAATTTGCAAGTGAAAGAGAGAATTTGACAAGAAGTTAATGATAATTAAGGAAGAAAAATAAAAAAGTAAAAGTTTTAAATTGAGATGGTTAAAGGGCATAATAGATATATAAAAAAATAGGCTACATCAAACTATTGTTTTTCCTTTATATATTATTATAGATTAATTTGTTTCCAACAATATTTAAATCTTAATGACGTCATTTCTCATTAATTAATTAATAAGAAAACATTTTTTTTAATTTCGTATTTTAATTTTAAGGTTTATTTTGATTTCTTAATTTTTTAAATCTTTAAAATATTTCATATTAATTTTTTTTTGTTATTAACGATAAAAAAAAATTTAAAAATAAAATCGTTAATTAAATAAAAAAATTAATATAAAAAGTCTTGAAAAATGAAAAAAAATAAACCAAAATAAATCCTAAAATTAAGATAGGAGTAAAAAATATTAAGCCTTAATTAATTAAGTAGCAGAAACACACCAAAAAACACTCGAAAACGAAGCAACAAAAATTGCAATCGAGCTTTTCTAAACCAAAACTGCGAAAAATGAAGACGATGATGGGATTGAGATCCTTATTCCGATCACTCAACTCTTCCAGATCTTATTCTTCCCGTGCCTTCACCGCCGCCGCCGCCGCTACCACCAACCTTCGAGCCCTTTCTTCTCCTCGCTTTCTCAATCCTCTCTCTCCCTCCTCAGGTACTTTCTCTCTCTACCAATTTTCTCAATCCTATTAGATTTCGACTATTTTACAACAATTCATTCTGTAGCATTAAGCTTGGATGTGTCTATTATTGATTAGAAAAATAAGCAATTCATATTCCAATATATCATGAAGTTCAACCAATTAGGTTAACATCAACCATGATTTTGATTTTGTTCTAAATTGGAATGCTCAATTTAGAGAAGCTAGATTCAGTTATCTGTTATATGCTGAATCTGTTTTGTTTGAAAAACGATTTACAGAATGCAGGTCTCCTTTCTCGAATGGAGTAGGAAGCTTGCGATTTTATAGCGAAGATGTGAGTCATGTGCCTGAGATTAAGGATGCTGAGCTTTACAGCGTTTTCAAGGATTTGTTGGCTGAAAATTGGAGTGATATTTCGGATGCTGTTGTTTCTGATGCTAAGCATGCGTTGGCGAAAAGTACAGAAGATGAGGCTGGTAAGGAGGTTGTGACCAATGTGTTCCGTGCTGCTCAGGCTGTTGAAGAGTTTGGTGGGATCCTTGTTACCTTGAAGATGGAAATTGATGACAGCATCGGCATGAGCGGCGAGGTATTTTTGATTTCAGAAATGTAAGACTAGAGAAATTAGTTTTAAAAATGGTGAGGTCACTTTATCGGTAAATTGGAATCGTTTGATAGAGATTGAACAAGTCACGATGTAAAATAAGTACTCTTAATACTGACCCGTTTGATCTTCATCCAATGATTTCAATATGTTGATTAGTAGTGGCTGTATCATTTTTTTTTATGGAAGCAAATCCTGGTCCGATTCATTAAGCCACATTAATCCATTCTCTTACCATTCACCTATCACATTTGGTTGTTGGAGATCAAATAACTCATTGTATCTCAGTAGTTTGGATTTAAAATAAGTACTCGTTATATTTGTTTGATTTTTCTTCGTTCGGTGATTATAGTGACTGTATCAATTTTTTATGGTTGAAATTCCTTGTCCAATTCTTGAGAGACACTACTGCATTCTCTTTTCATTTACCTATCTTATATTGTTATTGATTTGTGTTTTTATTTTTACTTAGAATGTAAAGCCTTTGCCTGATCATGTGAACAAAGCTCTGCATACAATTTTTGATCGCTATACCACCTATCTGAATGCTTTTGGTCCTGAGGAGAACTATCTGCGGAAGAAGGTGGAGTCAGAATTGGGTACAAAGATGATTCACTTGAAAATGAGATGCAGTGGCCTTGGTTCTGAGTGGGGAAAGGTATCATATATATTTTATTCATTACCACCTATTTATCTGATAGTATATTGATTTTGAAATGTTATTATCAATGGTTTATGGCTACCAGAGGGGGCAAGCTTCTAAAACGCTTTGGCAGCGTGACGGATACTGGTTGCTGCCAAGTTGAAATGTGGTGCCAAATTTCGTTTTTCTTAAAATCTCTAGTTTTCTTAAACCGTTAGAGATCTTCATAACCTACTGGAATATAATACTCTATTTAAACTAAGAATTATACCATGGGATGAAATTTCATACGAGTCTCACCAAAGTTATGTGGGACTCACGTGACTTTGTGAGATTCATTTGAATTTCTATCCGTAGGAAAGAGCTTATTGGGAAGAGTGTTTTGCTATCACTCCTCTTTAACTACTACTAAAATATTCATGAATGAAGGATGAAAGAAAAGAGCTGCAAAGCTGCAGTTTTATGTGTTAGTTTTTAGAGTTCTTTTTCTGTTGCTTTTCTTGTTATTTGAACTTAAGAGACTTGGCTACATAATAATCAATCAATGCCATTCCCCATGACACCGCCAGTTGAATACACCATGGTGAACCCCCATTTTGACAATTTCAAATTTTTGTATGTACTTGCAAGTTGCAAATTATTTTTAAGATCTTGATGTGAATAAGGGTTTGTTCCTAGAATAAGGGTTTGTTTCTAGAATAAAGGAAACAAATTAGAAATTGACTTGTTCTCATTAAAATGTAATTATTTAGTGTAATTACCAATATAGCCCTGTAACCTCTATATATACGAGAAATAATAATGAGAAAAGTATTAAGCCAAGAATTCTTGACATGGTATTAGCCTCGTAGATCAAACCTGTGATTTTCTGGTTCTGATTTTTTTCTCTTGGTTCTGTGACAACATCCTGATCAATTCAGTTTGTTGTTTCTTCGTTTCTGGTTCTTGATCGTTCCCCGTGGAATTCGTTTAGCGTCGACTGCCATCGTGATTCTGGGTTTAGGGCTTCGGCTTACTTCGGTTGTTTGCGATCCTCCTTTCACGAATATTGATTCTAGGTCGTGACCGGTTTGTTTTTCGTGGTTATAATTTTGTTTTAATTTGGTTTGTGGTTTGTGGTTATAATTTGGTTCCGCCGCTAATTCCAAATTGAAACATTGGAATTGTTACGGCTTCACGAGTGGTACTGTTCTTGGGATATATTGGTGGTACTGCACGAGCTTTGTTCCTTTTGGTTGCAGGTTGTTATTATAATAATAATAAGTATTATAATAATAATAATTATTATAGTAATACATCAATAGTGAGGTTGAATCTAATTACAACATAATTTCAATGGCTTCCGAAAAAGAAAGAGATAACTTCTGTGTTCGTTTCACCGGCAAGAATTATTCGGCTTGGGAATTTCAATTCAAGATGTATGTTAGAGGAAAGGGATTATGGAGTCACTTAGATGGTGTTTCTAAGGCCCCGACGGATAAAACTGCTTCAGATGTATGGGAAACTCAAGATGCTCAAATCATCACTTGGATTCTCAATAGTATTGATCCTCAGATGATAAATAATTTGCGCTCCTTTTCAACTGCTCAAGAAATATGGAATTATCTTAAGCGCATTTACAACCAGGACAATTCGGCAAAACGTTTTCAATTGGAGCTAGACATAGCCAACTACAAACAAGGTGACCTACCTATTCAAGAATACTATTCTGGTTTTCTGAATCTCTGGACAGAACACTCTGCTATTATACATGCTAATGTTCCCAAAACCTCTCTCACTGCTGTTCAAGAGGTCTACGACACAAGTAGGCGAGATCAATTTCTCATGAAACTTCGTCCAGAATTCGAGATTGTTAGAGGCGCTTTGCTCAATAGGAATCCTGTTCCTTCTTTGGATACTTGTGTCGGTGAACTTCTAAGGGAGGAACAACGTCTACTTACGCAAGGAACCATGTCTCATGATGCTGTTAGTTCCGAACCTGTGGCAATTGCATATGCTGCTCAAAGTAGAGGAAAGGGTCGTGATATGCGACAAGTTCAATGTTTTTCTTGCAAACAATTTGGACATGTAGCTCGCAATTGCAGTAAGAAGTTTTGCAACTATTGCAAACAACAGGGTCATATCATCTCTGACTGTCCCACACGTCCTCCCCGACCAGTACAACGTCCAACTCAAGCATTCCATGCCACTACCAACTCTGAAGTTGGTCCTCTCAGTACTGGTACCGGTAGTGTTCTACAACCTGAAATGATTCACCAAATGGTACTTTCTGCTCTTTCAGCCTTGGGAATTCAGGGTAAGTCTTCTAATAATTCTCAATCATGGTTTCTTGATTCTGGTGCATCCAATCACATGACGGGTTCCTCTAAATACTTACAAAATGTACATTCCTATAATGGTAATCAGCAAATTCAAATTGCTGATGGTAATAAACTTTCTATCACTGATGTTGGTGACATAGACTCAAACTTTCGTGACGTGCTTGTATCACCCGGACTTGCTTCCAACTTATTGTCGGTTGGTCAATTGGTGGATAACAATTGTAATGTTAGTTTTTCTCGTGTTGGTTGTCTTGTGCAGGAGCAGGTGTCGGGAAAGGTGATCGCGAAGGGGCCTAAAGTGGGAAGATTGTTTCCACTCCAGTTTAGTTCTAGTCATTTATCCTTTGCATGTAATACTGTTTTGAACTCTTATGAGGATTGGCATAGAAAATTAGGCCATCCAAATTCTGTTGTTTTGTCTCATTTATTTAAAACTGGTTTGTTGGGAAATAAACATGCGTGTACTACTCCTATTTCATGTTCTGTTTGCAAATTGGCTAAAAGTAAAATCCTCCCTTTTCCGTCAGGCGCTCATCGTGCTTCTACTTGTTTTGAGATGATTCATAGTGATGTGTGGGGAATGTCTCCTGCAACATCTCATGCTCACTATAAATATTTTGTCACATTTATTGATGATTACAGCCGCTTTACTTGGATATATTTTCTTAGATCTAAGTCTGAAGTGTTTTCTATGTTTCAGAAGTTTTTGACATATGTTGAAAATCAATTTCAAGCAAGTGTTAAAATTTTTCGATCTGACTCGGGAGGTGAGTATATGTCTCATGCATTTCAGGAATACCTTCAACAAAAAGGGATCTTGTCTCAACGGTCTTGTCCCAATACCCCTCAACAAAACGGGATGGCAGAGCGAAAGAATCGTCATTTGCTTGATGTAACACGCACATTACTTCTTCAAGCTTCTGTGCCATCCCGATTTTGGGTTGAGGCTCTTTCCACAGCCGTATTCTTGATCAATCGTCTTCCTTCTACGGTTATTGATTTTGATTCTCCCTTCTTTCGCCTTTTTAAAATTCAGCCTAGTTATAATGATTTACATATTTTTGGATGTGTTTGTTTTGTGCACTTACCTCCATTTGAAAGACATAAGCTTGGAGCACAGTCTGTTCAATGTGCGTTTATGGGGTATAGTCACTCACATAAGGGATTTGTGTGTTATGATGTCACTAACCATCGTTTTCGCATTTCTAGGAATGTGACATTTTTTGATAATCAGTTTATGTTTCCATGTGTTTCTCCTGTCATGAATGATATTGTTACTCTTCCTAAGTTCTCTATTATGCCTCAATCTATAGAGCGTTATAAACCAGGTCATGTATATGTCAGAAAACACAAACAGCAGGTTCCCACACCCCTTCCCGACGCTGAACCGCCACCTGATCCTGTAACGGTTGAACCACGACGTTCTGTTCGAATATCTCGAGCACCAGACAGATATTCACCAGACAGGTATGATTCAGCACATACTTCTCTGACTGCCACCCTCTCTGGCATATCTATTCCTACTTGTTATTCACAGGCTGTTAAAGATGTACGTTGGATAAAAGCAATGAATGAGGAACTTCAAGCTCTTCAAGAGAATTTCACATGGGATATTGTCTCTTGTCCTCCAGATGTCAAACCCATTGGCTGCAAATGGGTGTATTCTGTGAAATTGAATTCGGATGGGTCCCTCAACCGTTTCAAGGCTCGCTTGGTTGCCTTAGGAAACAAGCAGGAATATGGAATTGATTATGATGAGACATTTGCACCGGTTGCTAAAATGACATCCGTTCGTACGGTACTCTCTATAGCTGCTTCTAACGGGTGGGCTCTTTATCAATTAGATGTGAAAAATGCTTTTCTTCATGGTGACCTCGCGGAAGACATTTATATGACTCCTCCTCAAGGTTTATTTTCATCATCTAAGGGTGTGTGCAAGCTTAAACGCTCCTTATACGGTTTGAAACAAGCACCTAGAGCATGGTATGAAAAATTCCGCTCCACTCTACTTGGGTTCTCCTTTACTCAGAGTCAGTATGATTCTTCTCTATTTATTCATAGAACTTCTACTGGAATTGTCCTACTTCTTCTGTATGTTGATGATATGATTATTACTGGTTCTGATCATGCTTCCATTCAAAGCCTTAAACAGCAGTTACAAGCAGCGTTTCATATGAAAGATCTTGGTAGTTTGCATTATTTTCTTGGTCTTGAGGTTCATTCTACATCCAAGGGCATATTCCTCCATCAACACAAGTATGCCACAGATTTAATTTCCATGGCTGGTCTCCAATCGGCTAATCCAGTGGATACTCCGCTTGAGGTTAATGTTAAATATCATCGTGATGATGGTGATCTGTTGCCTGATCCCTTATTGTATCGTCAACTCGTGGGTAGCCTTAATTACTTGACTATTACTCGCCCTGACATATCGTTTGCTGTTCAACAAGTAAGTCAATTCATGCACTCTCCTCGCCACCTTCACTTGGCAGCAGTTCGTCGTATAATTCGTTACTTGAAGGGAAGCTCTCATCGTGGTTTATTCTTTCCTAGTGGAGTTGCTCCTAAATTGAGTGCTTATAGTGATGCAGATTGGGCAGGGTGTCCTGATACTCGACGATCTGTCACTGGTTGGTGCATGTTTCTTGGCTCTTCATTGATCTCATGGAAAAGTAAGAAACAAGCGAGAGTCTCTAAATCTTCTACTGAATCTGAGTATCGTGCCATGTCTGCTGCTTGTTCTGAAATAATTTGGCTTCGTGGTCTTTTGGCTGAACTTGGATTTCCTCAAATAGAGCCAACTTCGCTTTATGCTGACAATACAAGTGCCATCCAAATTGTTGCGAATCCTGTTTTTCATGAACGCACCAAACATATTGAAGTTGACTGTCACTCAATTCGTGATGCTTATGATGACCGAATCATATCACTTCCTCATGTCAGTACTCAGTTGCAGATTGCAGATATTCTTACCAAGGCTGTTCCGCGTCCACGTCATCAGTTTCTTGTTAGCAAATTGATGCTTATTGACAAGCAGCATCAATTTGAGGGGGGATGTGAATAAGGGTTTGTTCCTAGAATAAGGGTTTGTTTCTAGAATAAAGGAAACAAATTAGAAATTGACTTGTTCTCATTAAAATGTAATTATTTAGTGTAATTACCAATATAGCCCTGTAACCTCTATATATACGAGAAATAATAATGAGAAAAGTATTAAGCCAAGAATTCTTGACACTTGAAAATATGTAGGAAACGATATTGTATGTTACATTAATTGGAATATGGAATTTGACATTCCCATGTCCTTTCTCAAGTTCCTCCTTAAATTAATTTTTATGACAATATTTTTAGTTGGTTGTCTTTCCCGAGTAGTCATTCAAGGTAAAAATAACTCTTGAGAGGAGAAAAATAAAGGAGATTTGTTGCATTCTGTAGTTTACCTCTACATTTTTCAACTTTTCGTTGTTCTTAGTCGCAGCATGATTGGTTAATACTTATTTTGTCGTGTGGGATAGTTTTTGTGCAAATTTTTAATAATTACAGACCAATTTCTGATTCCTTTATCATATCTGTGGTTTCTGTTGCAGGTTACGGTTCTTGGAACTTCTGGACTTGCGGGTTCATATGTTGAGCAAAGAGCATAGAAGAACTATTTTAGAAACAGTGCATGTAATGTAATTGTTTTTTTTTTTTTTTCTGATGTAATGTCCCTGATGCCGGAGACCCTTTGATTCGTCTTCTCCTGACGTTTTTTTGTTGTCGAGCGTATAATCGCAAGGAAATAATAGCTTTTAACTTTATCAGCTGGGAATGTTTTCCATCATTTTCAATGTCATTTCCCATAAGCTGTAAATGCTGGTGAAAATTTTTAGGACTTGTATATTTTTCCCATAATATGAAAATAACAGATCAGGAGGTTGGTTAATTTTCCCTCGTTTTTATCTACATCCATTATCTGCAAGCACCAACTACAGGAAAATAATAAGAAACCTGCAAGCACATGCCATGTTTCATTGAAACAGTACTCTAGTTAGGAATGGCAAACGGACCTGTCCATCTGCCACCATGCAAAAGTCCGAAAAAACAGGATAGGGCGGGAATATTTGAGAGTCCGGACTTAAAATTTTGGTCCATCTTACAAAATAGCGAGGACGGGGTGGGTCCGCGGGCATTGAATTTTTTAAGTTTAAAAATTTCAAAATTGTATGTAAAAACCCTCACCAAGCCAGCGTCTGCAAAGAAAATGGGGTGCGGCGAGCACATTAAAAGGCACATACCAAACCAAAAACTTTGGTAAGCCTTGCAAACAAAAGTACAAAACGGGTATGTACGATGGGTCTTACTTGTTTTTGCCACTCCTACCTTTATTCATGAATGAATGAAATAGTATCATGTGCAAGTTTTGTTGCATTCCTTTCCTGTGATTATTATTCTATGTTTTGCTTATAAAAATATGAATCTGTTTTATAGCAAATCAACAATAAGTCAACTTTTGATTGTTTGTTACATGATAATAACCGTAGTCTGTTTTCAAAGCTTGTGCTGCTGATTCTTTTAGTCCTTATTCAATAAAGTTCAACCAGTTCTGATTCTTACAGTTCTTGTTTTAATCAGAATATGAAACAAAAACAAGTAGAGATATATAGACTTTAAGTAACTTTGGTACTTAGTTGTATTTTACGATACAACCATGATTCAGATGGCGACTTCGGCAGTGGTGGAAGCAACACAGCTTTCCGGCAGAGACCAAAAGGCCATCCCTCACAATGACAGAACTCCTGAATTATAGACCTCTTCCAATATTCTGACAAATCAAACTCATTCAAGCTTGAACATCTTGAAAGGTTAGTCTTCACAGAATAAAATGCTTCTCCATTAGCACTAGAAGAAGAATACATTGAGAAACAGCTTTTAACTGACAAAAATTCTTCTTGTTCACCTTGTTCTTCATTACCTCCTTCATTTGCGTGTTGTGGTTTCATTTTCTCAGTAACACTCAATTCTCCTGTTGCAGGAGAATATACCCAAGAAAAACTCTCTCTCAATTGGCTTGGCTTGTTCCTTTGTTTCTCCATAGCTCGGCTTCTAACCGCCGAGACAATCACCTAATGAAGCATCATGAAACATGTTAGAGTCTATGAAACACTGACACAAATATAGACACGATTGACACAAGTAAAAAGTTTAAGAAAATATATGTAATTGAAAATATATGTAATTGAATGTAATCACGCGTGTCAATATCAAACTGACTCAAAGATCATTTTAAAGTTGAAGAATGAACAATACTTCCTGTTGTTCATCAAGATCACTAATCGGAAACTCGTCTTCAAGCCTTGCAGACGAAACCCTTCGAGTTCGCCCGAAAGTTTGACAGTTGGAAAACACTTCCTTCAGACTAGCTGCAAAGAATTTGCACCTCTTAGAATGGTTTGGCTGCTCCTCCTCATGATAGAAAACACCCATTATGAAACTCAATAAATTCTTCAACTTTTCCTTATAAGACATTGTTATATATATTGGTACAAAACTATATATGATTTTGTGTTGATTCTTAAATTGACCTGTCTCATTGATAGTGGCCTTGCAGCAATACACTAAAGAGTAAAGCCCCACTATAAGCATTGTGTCCTTTAAGATAAAGTTAAGTTGAAAAAGGCTTAAAATAAGATACTTTATGGAACAAAAATGAAGTTGTGAAATAAATGCTTGTTTGGCAAGTAGAAAAAGAAAACACAATATGAAAATTGAATTAATGCATGTTATTTGAAATGTATAAGTTGTGGTAGTGATTGTTTTAGAGTAACACTTGAAGGTAAAGTCATGGTTAATAGGACGTGCCACCGAATTGATACAGTGATGCAGATATGTGATAAGTGTGAATCTCCAATTGAAATCATTTCTTGAAAAATAATTCAGAAAGGAGACAAGTGCGTCGGTACATTTTGGGATTAGTGCTGTCTTTAAAGTTGAAATGGACTTGCATTACATAAAAAGGGATTCTCTACACACATGCAAAATAAATCTGTGAAATAGAAAATAAATTTTTTTAATTAAAATTTAAAAAATAATAGAAAATAAAAATTAAATATATCTGATATTTATCTCATTCACCAAAATGATTTAGAAAAAGGAAATTCGCTTTAGTTTTAAAATATATTTGACATTTTTTAGATATCATAGTTTTATAAACTATAAATTGATTCATCCGGTTCAACTTGATTTAATATTTATACAATTTTTTATTGAGCTCGAGATATATAACCAAGTCATATAATTTTATTCAAGTCAATCATACGATTCAATTAATAATTCTCTAATTCAACCGAACCAATTTTTAAAATCTATTCAAATAACAATTGCATAAATATTTAAAAATTAAAATTTTAACTTTTATTTATATTTTAGTCACATACCTTCAAAGGATGTTGTCTCAAAAGATACATTCACCCATAGGACCTATTTCTTACAATCATCTTCTCATTTCCTCTTTTCAAGCCATAACTTAAGAGACATGTCTTTTATGAGGTACATAATATGTAAATGAAAAGAAAAAGACAACTCTTTCTCTTTAGACTGTCTCAAATTGACATAATGTTAAGAGTTAAATCAATTTAAAAAGACTATAACTCAAATGATTGACTTAGAACACTAAAAGAAATCTTAGAGTCTAATCTTGATGGGTAACATAAAATTCTCCTTTTTATTTCTTTTGCATCATCAATCTAACTACCAGAAGTATTCTTGATTGACTGGATAATATTTATTTTTAGCCTTTGCACTACTTTGACATGATAGAATCTAGTATTCCTATCGCCATCCACAAACTACTTTTGCTTAGATTTCTGATACCAAAGCAACTCCTCTTGATGAAGAATTTTGGTCTGAAAAATCGAGTCGAGGAAGAACCTTAACCTGTGCATTAGGAAATTGGAGTCTCTATCCAGATTTTCATAGATTCGCATACCTCCATGATTGATAGGGCCTCGCCGTGTGTACTTGTAACCTGTTGAACCTAAATCCATCAGATTACAAGCATTGATTCTATCTTAAAATTTCTCACATTTCCTGGTTGAAGGTGTGGCTCTCCCTCTCTTTTATGTCCCGGCCAAAATGTATTAAAATCGCCTCCTACAGTCCATCCACAATTGACACTATTAGGAATGGATATCAATTCATTCCAAAATTCTCATATTCCTTTCTCTTTCTCTTTCAGACTTGCATATTGTAATACCCTAACTCTAAAACTTATATAATAAACATTATACGCTAACTAAAATGTTACAAACTTTAAAACATCTCAACTTTATTCAAATAGCAATGAAAAATCAAATTAAAATGCTCGACAAAATCAAATTTGTTCTCAACTTCAAAATAACGTCATAACAACTCCTCAAAAACATTAATTCGAATTTAACAATTAAACAAGTTTTTCAACCCCGATGTTACATGATCAGAGCATAGTCACTATATAAACAACGAAACTAAACAGAAAAAACTTCAAAAATTATTTTCCACTCATAGCAACAACTTTACTCAATGGTGGACAAAATCAAAGCAAAGCGGGTGAGAATTCACATCAATAAATTAACGGCATAAACTACAAGATATAAATCAAACCTCTACACAGTCAATAACAATCACGCACATCATTCTCATACCCAATCCATCAACATACACAATAATCACATATTCATCATTTAATTATGCAATGAGAATCTCAACTTCAACTAGACTCATATGCATGTGGTATCATATCATCATCAATTAGTTCACTAAGGAACCGAATTCACCCTGCTCGAATTCTGAATCCGCCCTTCTCGAATTTGGGACAAATCACCAATCCATCCTGCTCAGATTGCAACTTGCTTCTTTCATCAACAACAACGACATAATGAATACATGCCACAACACGTCAATGCAACAACAACATTATGTTTAAAGTACCCTCCCGGCAATAAACAAAATATGCATTGACTCAACGATAATAGTTCCACTCTTGAAATATCATACCACAACAACATTCTCACAATGCAGCAACATAAATCATGCTCATACAACAGCATATCATCATCATAATTCACATCAAGTAACACAACATCATCATGGATTGTGCACATATCCAACATTCATCACATAGTTCATAAATTTGATTAAAATCATGTTTAATCGTTAAATCATACATACATCATTTAAACAGTACTTAACCGTGTATTAATAGTATGCAAAACATCCACGAAACTAAAAACAAAATTGAAATATTCCATTTATCATCATTAAAACAAGTATTTACACCTACTTAAGGCGCATGGCGGGTTACTCGTCACGAGCATGGAGCCCAACATGGACATCCTAACACAAACACGTCACCTATGTGACGATCGGCTATAAAACTGAGTCTGGGCTTCATGACGGGTTACCCGTCATGACAATGGCGCCTGTCATGGTGATGGCGCCCGCCATCAACATGTAGAATACAAAATTACCTTTTTTGCTACGGAGTTCACATCAGTACTTCAATTTTCCACTCTAGGTACTCAAATTAATAAGAAAACAACAAAGAATCAACATATTAACATCACACAACCTATATTTATCAATTAGCAAGCATAATCATCAATTATCCGCCACCTTTATCATGATTCCAAAACCCTCAAAATCCAACAATTGTGAAAATATATTAACACATAAAAATAGAAAATCTCATACACAAATGTCATCATAAAAAACAGACTACGAAACCAATTGATTATCAAATTTCAAATTCACATACAAACACAACCAAACATACACAATTATAAAAACATATTGCAGGTTAAGGACTCCTCAACTCTATCCCTTAAGCATATGTCCATTATGAAATCCATTTTCCCCCTTACCAGAATTTCTAGCAAGCAATATGAATCTAAACTAGTTTTTGAATGTTCTCCTCTCGCCCAAAGCTCTAAGTTTTTCCTTTGCCTCTAGCATCTTTCTCTCTGTTCCAAAGTTTGTAAGTACAGATGAAAAAAACTCCTAAACATAGATTATGTTCCTAATTTATATCATTAGGATTAATCTATTTAAAATTACAATCACCTCTCACTTAATAACATATAAAATAACAATCAAAACCTAGTTAAAATTAAAATGAAATGAAATCTCGAATAAACACATAAAATAACAATTTAAACACTAGGGTGTTACACACACTGTCGTTAGAAGTCAGTTCGATCCATCTCCCAACTTGATGTTTGCATGAATAAGTTGAAAGTGTTTTCTTTATAATCGTTACTTTGAGCTTGTGAGTTCTCCACCCCATTGATATCCTTCTTGCACAACGTTGAACCTATGTAAATCATAACCATCAAAACCTAGCTTGTGGAACTTTTTGCAAAGTTTTGACGGATCAACTATCGTTTCCATGACGACAAACATACATGGCTTATTTTCTCCCATGTAATAGTTGCAAACACGTATGAAAGCTTGATTTACCGCACCACTACAGTTCCAAAACATAATTTTGCATTGATCTAAAATAATTAAAATTATTGGTTTGTAGTTGGGACCCCTTGACGAACACATGGCATCTCCTCCACCAATTCCATGTCAGATTTGTCATCTTCTTCCACCTTCTCTCCACTTTTCTTATGAGACCCATTTTCTCCCTCAATTTTTGCTTCTATGTTGGTGTTATTTAAATTCGAGAGAGTGTTAAGAGTGTTGTCTTTTGGTGAATCAGTTTCATGCGATCCTTAGGCCCTAAGTTCTTTTGGACCTAACTGATCCAAATTACTCCTTTTTCTATTATGGGCCCCACCCTCATCCAATTAAGATGGTATTATTTCTCAACCTCGATCATCAGTTAGAGATAATCCATTAACCAACTCGTTAACTTCACTCTCCTTCATTAGTTTACCAAGATCCCCTCCATTTTCCCCCTATGTAGCCCATTTGTTCTTTCTTTTTTTTATACCACGTGAAGACACCGCTAGCTTTTCGTTATTTTAAAAAATATATATTTTCTCACCACATCCTTCAACATAATTCCCAAATCGCACGCAATTTAGACATAATAGATGAAAACCTTTGTTTTCCACATTGTAGTGTATCCATTTGATGGAAAACATTGCAAGAAGTGGTTTAGTTAAATCCACTTGTATACAACGCCTCACATAATTTCCTCTCTCCCTTATAAGAGTGTCATTGTCCACTTTAATTGTTTTCCCAAAACAATCACCTATGAATTCTAGCACTCTATTATCATAGTATACAATAGGAAGACCTGAGATTCTGATCCACACTGCGAGCTGCTCAATTGCGTCTCTTGAGGGACAAAAGTTAGCATTTCATTCCCTCACCGAAAGATAGTGATCATATATTAGCCATGGCCCTTCCATTAGTGCAAAGTCTTGATCTTCTTCATGTGTCAAAGTTACTAGGTAATACTCCTGTCCAAGATCCAATATGTTCAACACTCATTGTCTTGCCCATAATTGTTGAAGTCTATTTTCCAACGCTTTGTAGCTTATTCTTCTTCCGAACATTTTAACAATCACCCACTTTTTTCCAAGGTTTGGAAGTTCTCTGTTCTTCCATGTTTTATAGTATGATCTTTAGACAATCATATTCTATATACTTCCTTTCCTCTATTCTTAGATCTTAAGCATGACTTTTAACTTCCCAAAATCCTTCAATACTCATATCTCGATCATCTACATCATCTTTCTCTTTGACATTCTCTCCAGTTACCATGTCCTTGTTAGAGATCATGTTTGCATTGTCTTTAGGGGTGACAAACGGGCGTGCCAGCCCTTTTTAGGCTCGTCCGACAAAAGCTCACAAAAGAAACGGGGTCAGGCGGACAGGCATATTTTAGGGTGTGGGTCTAAAACTATGTCATGTCCTGCATAAAAATGAGTGCGGGACGGGGCAAGTCCGCGGGTAAGCAACGTTTTAGACCTACAAATTACAAAATTGTATGTAAAAGTCTGGCCTGCGAAAACCCACAAAAAAACAGGACAGACACGTTAAAAGGTACGAATCTAAAATCATATCAGATCTCGTAAAAAATACGGGTAAAATGGACATGTCCGACGAGTCAGACCCGTTTTACCATTCTATTTCTCTTTCTCTCAAGTTTGGTTGTTACTTTTAAGCTGAAACATCTCTTCTCTATCTTTAACTTTTTGATGCTCTTTTATTTTAAATTTTCCTCTTTATATGGAACGTTTTGATTTGCTAATGCAAACCCATCGAAAAATGGGTAATGAAACAGAGAAAAAATATATTATATTAGTTAAATTTTAGTATAACATAAAATTGGTTTATACTTTTTGATCAAATTCACTAATACAATTTTTTTAAAATAATTATAACTTCATTTAAAAAAACAATAATTAAACTCTTGTTGTAATGGATAAATGTCAAGTTATGTGCTAATCTAAATCAACATAAATACCAACATCAAACTTCTTAAAAAGTAGCTTCATAAGTTGGAGATTAATTAAAACACATATTAAATACTTTTTTTTTTAATTGATTTATTTGAGATTATTTTAAAATAGTAAGTTTTAAGATATTGTTTGGCAAAAGTTATAATTAGACCTTTTTTTTTTCATTCATGTTGCTAATTGTACTTCCTTTTTTTTAATTGTGTTTATTATTATTATTATTATTAATGATAATAAAAAGAAGTAATAAAATGTGAAAATTTCGTAAATAAAAGAAAAAATGGTAATGTAGTAAAATTTAAGATAGTGTTAAATAATTTTTGTTAAAATTGTTCCTAAATAATTATTATAGAAAGAAAAAAAAATAAATACAATAAATAATTAAGAATATTATAGATAAAAAAATATATTATTAACTTTATTGATATTTAAAAAAATATATACTTAGTATCATTATTTCTATATTAGATGATAGTATGAAATATTTTTATAAATTACAAATTACAATCATACAAAAATTAAACTAAACAAATCACAAAATACAAATACCCTGAAAAACCAGATATTATTGATACAACTTTTTTGGTGAATAATGGAAGATACAGTTTAATTTGAAGAAGACGAAGATGATGATGATGATTGAAGGTGTTGAGAAGTGAGAGATATCAAAGATCGAAGCTTAGCAACCGCAGCAATTTTATCGGGAGGACACTTTGACAGCGAAACATTGAAACAATCCAGAGCTTCCTCCAGCTTCCCGCCGGCCAAAGCTGCGCAGCCCGCTCTGTACGATTCGTCCGCCGTGCGTGCGTCGTGTAACCGATCGACGTCGAGTATGGCGGTGGCGCGTGTGTATTCCAGATTTGAAATTGCAGAGTCGATCTCCGTCATTAGAGCCTCCGGTGTCGCGGCGATTATCTTAACGCCGTCGAAGACGCTCCAGTGGCTCTTGCGTTCTTCTCGCGATCCCATAGTAAATGATTATTGTGTAATTGATTGATTGAAAGTGATGATGATGATGATGATGAAGAATTTGTAATGCGTCATTTCTTCAAGTTGTACGTGTGTCGCGAGTTCGGTGATGAACGAACCATGATTGATTGCTGTTTTTCTTTATGACTTTTAGGTTGCCCTCTTAACCCTAGGCACATCTCTTCATTTTTCTTTCAATTTTTTCTATATTTCTTCTTGGAACACGCTTGATTTAAGCAAATAATTAATTTTACGAGTAAAGATCTATTTTTTTTTTTTATCAAGGAAAGTTTAGATTAGTTGGAATTTGGAGCTCTAAATGAGTACGGTAAGAAGTTTATAGAAGTACTTAAAGATTATTTGTTAAAGAGATCTTTACATTGAAAGTCGGAGTTAAACCTACTACTTTTTAACGTGTGAGTCAGTTTCTTATTAATTGAGTTAATTTAGTTTAGCGTAGAAATTCATTTTTTATTGTGATATATTCGTACAACAATAAATAAATATTATCCTATTAAGTAGTGTCAGTTGTATATATTCCATTTGTTTTTTATTAGCCTTAATTGTAATTATGGTCCCTTTATTTTGTATTTTTTTGAGTTTTGATCCTCCTATTAATCGTTAATTAATTAATTAAAATTTTAAATAAAATTTTTTGGGCGTTTAGTTATTGGTTCATGTCTTTGGTCCTTTTTTCTAACTCACAATTGAATTGTTGTATTTGTTTCACCTTTATAAACACTTTTATGTCTTATACAAAAATCAATATGGGACTTCTAAAAGACATTTTATACTACAACAATATCTCATTCTTCTTCATTGCAACAACTTTTCCTTGTTCTCAAACTTGTGTCCATTGCAACAACTTATACTTCTCCATTGTAACAAGGAGAACTTATGCTTCTCCATTGCAACACAAGTTTGGTGTTAACTGATGCAGATGGGCAAGGTGTGTTGTATATGAACAGAGATCAGTTTGAAGAGTTGAGGGTGAAGCGATAATAAAAGGATACACGTTCAATTCAGCATTAGAGTTATTACTATTCACAATCTCATTAGAGTTCAGCATTAGAGTTATCACACACCCTCCAATTCCACGTTGTATAAGATCTAATATCAATAGAGTCAACGATGAAGATATGAGATGATTTAGATGTTGGAGAAGCTATGTCATTTTTGACGGCTAGATCAGAGGTAATCTTTTCCGTTCTAATGTGATTTAGGGTCATGATAAGTTGAGTTGAGTTATGATTTACTAAGCCTAATCCTTTTCCAAAAAAAAAATAATAATAAAGCATATGCTTGACCAGTAGCATGTTATAGACTTATTTTTAGGTAAACGTTTTTTCTTTTCGAAAGTCTGATTGATGTGCTAGCCTATATAAAAACCTATTTAATTTATACTTATGTAAATAAATAATTCGCATAATGTTTAATTATACCAAGAAAACAAAAGACTAATTAGACTATAAGTTTGTTTACATTGACTTATATATGGGCTTACCTATTAGGATAAGTTTTATGAGATTATTTAATTAAGATAACTTATGAAGTCAAGTTGTGACATTATTCATAAGGTGTTTTCAACTTACTTTCACAAGTTCTTCAAGATAATTAAGTTTTATTTTTGTATTTTAATTCAAACTACAAAATATAATATAATAATTATAAATTATTCGTATTTATTTTTGTATTTTTTATGGCCTAAGGCATAACCTTTTTAACTAAATGAGCTTATAAAAAAGGATAAACTTTTTCTATTTAAAGAAAAGTCTTGCATGCCCTAGGCTTGTGTAGGTTGGACTGTAGGCTTATGTTACTTGGCATGACCTATTTCCAACCCTCAGTGTAATTGGTGTTGCGATTTGTAACTTTTAATCAAAAAAAATCTGATTAAGAAAATTCGTATGAATCAGAAGCCGATTTCCATTAACAGTGTCATTATTCTGCTAGAAAATCATAAATGTTTAGTGAAATGGTGGAGTAAAGCCTTGATGCAGCAAAATCGATTTTCAATGCGACAACACGAGGGTGGAATTACAAGGCTAGCATTCTAATGTCCAACTTATTAAGAGAATATAGAGTAAATCTGAGTTATGGGTCAGAGCATATACCAGGTTTCCCATGGGATGACTTATATATGAGGGACAATTATGAACGCCTCTCACTTCTCGACGTGGAACGTAAGAGGCTGCTCAATGACATCTAATGGTATATAACAATCCACGGCATAAATCCAGTATGTGAATCCAGAGAACAATTACACTATACCTTCAACGTCTTGATGAAATGATTTTAAAGTGATGATTCGATCTCTCCCTTTTGGGCACGTGGCTGACTCAGAACAATATTAGTATTTGTAAGTTAAATTAACATATTTTTGGATATTCAAGTTGTATGGTTGAAATGGAGAAGAGCATCAGGTGTTTTATGTGATGCAAATGTACTACTCAAGTTCAAGGAAAAGTTTTATCGGTTGCGGCACGACTTGCGATTTTGTACGAGATCGAATGTTGAGCGGTTAAAAATTAACACAAGAATAAAGTAAGTGTAGTAGACATGAGGATGTTGTGGTGGATGTGTAGTAAGACTCGACATGATAAAATTAGAAATAAAGGTATTAGAGAAAGTGTCAGAGCAACGTCTATAGTGAAAAAGATGGTGGAAAATAGACTTAGATGGTTTAACATGTAGAGAGAACATTAGTAAATTTGTTAGTAAGGAGAGTAGACTAGACTGGAAGAAAGAAAACAATTAAAGGACGAGGAAGACCTAGAAAGACTAATAGAAGTTATTAAAAGACATATCAAAATTAATGACTTTAATAAAAGAATGATCATTGATAGAACATTATAGAGAAAGTTGATACTACAATATAAGTTTTAATTATAAGTCGTTTTGGAAGAAAAAATTTGTACCACAATATACCAATGAATCCTTAGTGTTATTTTTTCTTTTATACCCTTAAATATTTATTATTCTCCCTCCTTTCAATTATATAAATTTGTCTTTTCAATACCATTAATAAAAGATAATTTTGTAAAATTATTCACAATTTCTCTTTTCCATACTACAATTGTTATTTTCTTAATATGTGTGAAAAGTCAAAAACGACTTATAATAAAAAGGCTTAATTGCAACTATGGTCCCCCTATTTTGTATTTTTTTTAATTTTGGTCCCTCCATTTTAAAAACCACGATTTTGGTCCTTTTTTAAATTTTGAGTTTGATTTTAGTCTCCTCTTCAATTTTAAATTTTTAATGATGTGACACTATCTAAGATGACGTGTCAATGTCAGGTCATTTTAAAAAAATTAATTTAAAACTTTTTTTATTGACTAGGATAATTAATTTATTAATATTATTTTAATTAATTTTTATAATTAATTAATTAATCAAAATTTTAAATAAAACTCTTTGCCTTTAATTATTGGTTCATGTCTTTGGTCCATTTTTCTAACCCACAATTGAAGTGTTGTATTTGTTTTAGCTTTATAAACACTTTTATGTCTTATACAAAAATCAATGTGGGACTTCTAAAAGACATTTTATACTACAACAATATCTCATTCTTCTTCATTGCAACAACTTCTCCTTGTTATCAAACATGTGTCCATTGCAACAACTTATACTTCTCCATTGCAACAAGGAGAACTTATGCTTCTCCATTGCAACACAAGTCCTTGTTGCAATGGAGAAACATAAGTTGTTGCAATGGACACAAGTTTGAGAATAATGAGAAGTTGTTGCAATGAAGAAGAATGAGATATTGTTGTAGTATAAAATATCTTTTAGAAGTTCCATATTAATTTTTGTATAAGACATAAAAGTGTTTATAAAGCTGAAATAAATACAACAAATCATTTGTGGGTTAGAAAGATGGACCAAAGACATGAACTAATAACTAAAGACCCAAAAAATTTCATTTAAAATTTTGATTAATTAATTAATTTTAAAAATTAATAATAAAATATTAATCATTAATTAATTAATTAAAATAATATTAATAAATTAATTATCCTAGTCAATAAAGAAAGTCTTATATTAATTTTTTTAAAATAACGTGACATTAACACGTCATTTTAGATAATACCACATCATTAAAAAAAAAATTTAATTGGAGAGGGAAAAGTTGGAAAGAGGAAGATGATTGTTTTTGTTGTTTTAAGGATTGGTTCATGTATTGTAAAGATAACAATTTCAAGAAAGGAAAATTAGGTGTTGTGTGGTTAGCATTGATTTGGTGCATTTGGCTCACCAGGAATGGGTTTTGTTTCCGGAATGAAGCTTGGAATGTGGATAGTTTGATTTGGAACGTGAAAATTTTGGTTTGGAAATGGAGGCCTATTGGTGAAATTACTTATCCCAATTGTTGTTTTTATGACTTTAGTAAAGAGCCCTTATTCTTTCTAAAGTAGGTCTTCAATTTGGTTTATAATTTCATGTTTTAAGGGTCTTGTCCCTTCCCTATTTTTGTAAGAGGTTTTTAGAGAACCCTTAGTTCTCTTTTATCAAATATATTGCTTGCTTACAAAACAAAAAAAAAAAAAAAACTCAAAACTTAAAAAATAAAAGATCAAAATCGTAGTTTTTAAAATAAGGGGACCAAAACCTAAAAAAATACAAAATAAGAAGACCATAGTTACAATTAAGTCTAAAATATTCATTCAATTTAATATTACAAAAAAAAAAAAAGCACCCTTAAATTAACATCAATTAAATTCTTAAAATATGCATCTTCAGTAGAAATCAAACTTGGAAGTTGGTACACATATTTCCAAAAATAACATCTTTAACATAAATTATAGGAGCTTAAATTCCAGATACACAATGAATCATGATAGCTCACACAGCAAAACAATTTCCTCATCTGTTAAGGGCATGTTTGTTTCACATTTTAGTGAATACAAACGCAAATATAACAATGTCCAAAACACTTCTAAATGCAACATCTGTTTCTATGATCAAACTCCGATTACACCGTCCAATAATCTAAAACTCATTCTTACACATGTATTAGGGGAAAAACTGATACAGACACATGTATAAAGAATTCATTCTCATTGAAAATCCTTAACAATGAGACTCTGTCTGTCGATAAACCGCACTTCGACAAAAATCATGTCCAATTTTTTTTCCTTTACTCCCCGTTTCAATAATCTAAAATGGCAAAAAAATATGTTGAACAACAATAGCATGATCCACAAAGCATGACAAAGGCTTTGCCAAGGATAGCTTTGAGTGCCTGTAATCTACAAGGTAGCTCGGGCCTCGTGTTGACCGCGTTATACTATACCGCTTTCTGTGCTGGTTATATATCTCAAGCACTAATAACTCCCGAGGCCCATGGAACAATCACCGGTGCAGATGGATGTGAATTTCGATACCATTCAGGATACCTATCCTTAAAATTTAGTTTCGGTTTCTCAGCCTGGATTCAGAATACAAATAGGTGTATATTAGCAAGGACGAAAACGGAAAAACACAGTTCGTAAGGAAATTTTTTTAGGGTAGAACTTACATATTTCAACCAGCATTCCTGATGTTTGTGCTGATAGATATCTGGCGAATGACATCCAAATTCTGACGGGCAATAAACCCAAATATTGCATTTCTTTTCACCTTCTTTGGCACGTTTAGCATGGTCCAGACAAGCTTGACAGCAATCAGCTGCACTATCTTTGTGGTGAGTAAGACCCCATCTTACTGCCGAACCATCGTAATCGGTATGAAGTTCAGGTTTGCACTGATGTGGAAGGGCCCTGCCAGGAAGAACTTCCTCCTCTGGAGAAACGTATACTTGGTAAATACATAAAAGATTAACTTTAGCATGGAAAAATCAAGTTACCGAAACTTTTACCTGAATCCTCTGCACCATCAGGTTTGTCATTATGCTCTTCATTCGTAACTTCAACAGGTATCCAAAGGCCAATTTCTTCGGCAAGCACGGCCCAATCAGATTCCAAAGCTTTTACTAGCATCCCTAGTATTAAGTTGAAATAAATATTAGGTATAAATAATGTGTGAAAGATTTGTAAAGCATTCATTATTACTTATTCGCATGCGAACTGTGCAAGGACACAAGCTTCATCTGAAAATGTCGCACAATCAACTCAAATGTTAGCAACACTGCAAAAAGAAATTGTTGTACACTCCATACCTGCCTCTTCACGAGAAACGGTAGAGTTGGAAATCCCTCCCACAGAAACCAATTTAATTTCTTTCAATTTTTGTTTGCGCCAATTTTCAATTGCTTCTGCATAGAATAAGTATAAATCAAATATTAAAAATATGCAATAAAATATCTTCTAGGTTACACAAAATTACCGTTACATAACACTGCCATCGTTAGAGTCAATAAAAAATGAAAACATTAAATAATATTGTCCTATCACAAATCAGTAACATAACTGAGTGTTTTAGACAGTTGTGAGGAAAAGATCACTCAGTCTATTAGAAATAAATCTAGGGACTCATTGAATATCTGAAATTCTGTTTTACTTTTACATTGATTGAAAGTTGGTTACAAATCAGATAATTCACTTGCTTTTATGGAAGCCGAGTGTTCACCTGCTATTGCAGGTTACCCTATAACTAACTGCCATTTGTCAGTCACATGTACAGCTGTCATAACTAGCTTTCTAAGTTAGTTACATTAGGCCTAGTAGTAGTGGGAAAGCTACTCTATAGTCTAGTCTCAAATACAGTCCTACACCATACTATATTATGAGAACCGCTAAATTATAATGCTGAATCCATAATCAATGAGAAAACATGAAATGAGTTCAGTTTGAACTCCAGAAATATGTGAGATAAACTCACAGTGGCGGATCAATGGAAGGATGAGAATAGGACGGGAGACAGAGATGATGATTATTATCAGCAGAGGAAGGTGGTGGTGGCCACTTGCAAAACACTTTAATGCTATAATGAAATATACCTGAATGTAAGGCAAACTACATTTTATAACCTTGTTGGCCATGATGATTGCTACATAACTGTTTATGTTATTCATTGTAGGCATGAGGACCACATTGGTAGAGATCCCACATGGTTTGGTATGGACTTCGATGGACTACAAGTCTAATCCAGAATAGATGCCCTCGAGTCAGCTTCTCGCGCGGAGCCGACTGATAAACAAGACAGACTTCTAAAAGGGTGGCGACCAACAAGGTTGGTCAAGGTCTACAGCCTACAAGACTGTCAGTGTGCACAACACGCGGAGTGTTTTTCATTGTCTTTCCCTTTGTGTTAAGTTGCCTGGTGGTCTATTGGACCCACATACTAAAGGTAAGGTCAAGAGAAGCTAAATAATCTTGTCTTTTGTTTTCGATGTAAGGGCTTGAGCACGTATACTATTTAGAGAATGTAAAAAAAGTGGCCAACATGAAGTCCCAATCAGAGAGGGAGAAGACACCCCCAAGTTAATTGTTTTGACAAGTAGCACTGGTTGCATCGTGAATGCCCTCCAGCTTGTGTGATATGATGTGATTGCCACAACTCCAATGCTGGTGGGAAGCAAATATAGGGTGTTGTACCGTAACCGTGCCTACGTCACGTTGAGGGCATTTTTCTTGACTAGATTTGGAGTCCCTAAAGGCCCAAATCAGACCACATGGGAGTCCCCCCAATATGAACCTCAAGCCTGAGATAGTTATATACAACAAAGACTAACTGAAAAAGTTACATAGCAATCATGGCAAACAAGGATATAAAATGTCATAGTTTGCCTCACATTCAGGTATGTCACATTCTAAATCTCACACCCAGATCTACTTTTGCAGCCTCCCTTCTACTACAGTTCAATTTTATTAAACTTCTCTACATTTACATTAATATATATTTCCAAAAGAAAACATACTCAAGGCATGTCTTAGAATTTGATCTTTAGGCTTAACTCAATCCCCCCCACGTAATGTGAGGACTAACAAATTTTGTAAAGACTACTTTAAACATATCTCTAGTCGACGTGGGATCTCAACATGGAACGTAAACAAATGCAAGTAACCCAATAACAACACCTCCCCACGCCTAGGATTGGACCTTCAGAGCATGGTCAAAAACAGGTGGCCCAATAACATATTTCAAAGGAATGGTAAGATCATCTAAGAATTTGGATTTTAGGCTTAACTCAATACCACAAAACCAGTTGCGAGGGGATGACTATTTGAGTCGTATAACCACTATGTTGACCATAAGATCTCTAGTTAATGTGGACAGTAAACAATACACTAATAGTTATTTTTCATAATTCAACTAAAACATAAAGAAAGCCAAATTATTAAATATCTCAGTCTTGCATAGAATCCAAATGAATCAAGCCATCTTCTAATAGTAAACATTTTTTTTCAAAGTTATATAAAGTGACCTTCAAGAGGAATATACCAAGGAGTAGTTGAGGTCAATGAAACTATGCTTTATAGATGTTTGAATCAGGACCAAAATCAATTAATACTATCCATAGAAAGAAAGGACATCGAATCAAAGGAATTTCCTCAAAAATCACTAGAAAAACAGATTGACGAGTATGCTTCTAATTGTGACTTGACCCTGAGACATTCATAATGCAACTATTCTGTCCAATTTATGCTTGAAACATAAAACAATTAGTCGAGTCCTGAAGAAAAATATTATGACCAGCCAGCAAGCAACAGCTACGTAAACATAGAACTAGTTCAGTAGTACGTGTATCTAAGAATACATTATCTCTAAACAAGTTCATGTATGTTTTCGGACCTTATAAACCATGGATCAGTTGCAGTTCAGGAGACAAAAAAAGCAGTACGCACTTAAGGACACACAAAAAAAAAATAATCTTCCAACTATGGTCATATTAGTATGAAATCCTGATCTCCTTGCTTAATTTAACGATGTCATTAGTTATAACCAGTGTTGTTAAATGGTGGCTATGGAGACGCCGTAGCATAGCGGAATTTGAACAAATCGCTAATGTTCCACAATATGCTATTTAGTACTACAAAATATTAATAGTGGCTATAGCAGTGATATAGCACTGTTGAGTAGCAGAATTTGAACAATCCGCTATCTACAATTGACAACATTGTATCAACACCAACTCGGATAAATAAGATTCCAATCAAGTTCACAATGGACATATTACACATATACTTTTCTACATAAAAACCAAGTTGGCCGCGTAAAACTTGATAAACAAGCAACGGCATACTGTCTACTTTCCCATCTCCTACGAATAAAATTGATAGCTTCGAGTCCAACCATCTCATGCTACCGTTTGTTAACTCGGGTTTTTTAAGTCAAGATTGTCGTCAAATGTGAATATATAAAAACAATATCCGTGTTTAATCATTGAAGGAACAATACACTATTATCGTCGCAATCTATCACCATAAACTCACCTCTCTCCATAGCAATGACCTGGGAGTGAGATCCATTAGTGCTTCTGCTATTCAAACTCACTAGTCTCTGCAAAACCTCATCAATTATCTTCTGTTTCAAGTGCTGAGGCAACTCATCCTCCATATTTTGGCTTGAAAACTCCCCTTTTAATTCCTTCACCTTTTTTGCACAAAATATTCATAACATCAATCAACAAACCAAAATCCAGCTTAACAATAAGTGATTATTCTTCTTAGTTCTTGATACTTACCCATTTCATTAACTCCACAGGTTTGTATGACTTCCTAATTCGGTCAGACTCTTCCATTTTCCGTATCTGATCTGGTTTATACACTACAACTGAAAAGACTTAGTTAGAAACATGCAGAACAATAATCTTTCCATTTTGGGGTGTTTCAAAAACTAATCATAAAACATAAAAACACAAACTAACTAATCATAAAACATAAAAACACAAACTTTTTTATACCCTTTAGTTTGTCTTAGTCTTTTTCTGTTTTAGGCAAAACCACAACATGAACATAAACATAAACATAAAAAAAGAACCTACTGTTTCTTGCAACACTACCAGAGTAGATGTAGAGAGAAGCATAAAGAGAACGAAGACAATAGAGAGCAATGGCAATGTTGAAAATACAAACTAAGATAGTGATTTTCTTGTATGAACAAACCCACTTTCCACTTCCTCTAGATTGAAGTTGAATCCCCCACTCACTTCTTGCCATGTCCCTTCTCTTCTTCTTGTTTTCACCTTTATCTTCATTCCACCATTGCCCTTGTTTCTTTTTCTCTTTCTCAGACCAAAAAGGTAGAAACTTTAATCTTAAATGTCGCTTGTGAACCCCAAAATAGATCGATCCACGAAAAGGGACAAAAAACCCAAAATTTGATTGGTCGCACAAGAGGAATTGGTAGATTCTTCCTCGTGCGAATCGAAAGTTGGAATTGTGTGAGAGTGGTGGGAATTGGTTGGATTAACTAAATCAGTTTGGTGGTTCGTTTCGCCATTAATGGTGGACCTGTTGCTTCTGCTAAAATGCGCTTGCACTTTACTACTTATTTTCTCTTACAAGTGTAATAAATTAATAAAAGAGAGTGCCATAAAAGAAATTTAATAAACAATTAATTTATCAAACTAATCATGAAGATATGTCTAATAAGAGATCTCACGCATTTGACAATTATACTGTCTTTTAGTTTTATATTTGAAAGATAAAAATGAATAAACACTTAAATTTTAAAAATATTTTGATAGCGTGAATAAACACTTAATTTTATACCAAGTTGAATATCACAAGCCTCTTGAGAAAGATTAATATCATTTAATTTTCCAAATAATTAAAATCAAATCATGTAAATATCATTTTAACTACTTCTAGACATTTAAGAGAATATCATATATTAGGTAACAATGTTAGAGAGAGAAGTTACAACCTCTTTTTAATTTTTAGGGTATATTATATTACTCTTTCCGTTTTAAAATGACTGTCATTTAAGATTTTTGCACACAGATTAAAAAATGCAATGATATTATCATAAGATATTACACTTTTATTAAATTAGTCTTATTAATGTATTGAAAATAGTGTACTAAGTAATAATATATGATACAATTGAAAAAATAACAATTATTACTACATTAAAAATTGAAAACTACCGTCATTTTTTGAAACAAAAAATTTTCTTTAAAACCACAGTTATTTTAAAACGAAAGGAGTGTTATCTTTAGGTGATTATGGAATAGAAGACGGCTAATAGAAATATATTTAAAAAATTTTAGAGAGATTATAGAGTTTGTGTGGGATTCTTATCCTTCGGGAAGAAAGATGACGAAGATGATGGCTTGTCTATTTATTTTTCTCCCTTCAACGCCATGGATGTCTCTCCCTTTAACGCTTCTAAACAACCCTGATGAACCAGTAGGGCTTTCATCTTTAAGCGCCACAGACCAAAGTCGTTCACTCCGGTGAACTTTTCGATCTCATACTTTGTTGAAGGCATCTTCTCCATGCTCACCGCACCAATTTGTTGTGAATCGGATGCCTTGAAACAAAATATAAATGATTTCTTTATTACCAAGAAACACACAAGGGTTAGGGTTAACAAAGAAAACAAGGTAAAACAACAAGGAACAACAAGGATTAGTTATAAACTGTTATTCTTTCATTTCTCTTAGAACAAGAATTCAAGTATACAGGAATAACAAAATAACTTGTCTCATTTGAAATTAGGATTTTATCTTCCTATTTTTCCTTACGCAAAGATTGAGAAACTAACATCCTATTTATAAGAAAAATAGCATACAAACCCAAGGGTTTTTTAACAATTACCCATTACAAGCTAACTTAGGGTACAAGGTAACTTAAACAATTGGACTTACAAGCAAGACCCAATTCAACATGCTAACAACCCTAGCAATATTGACTAATGCATGTTAGAACAAACTTCGACTACAACACGCATTACTCTGACAGCAGCATGCGAACAAACTTCGACTTCATGCTTAATTCCTGTTGAACCAGAATCTACCCTTCGACCATACTAGGGTTCAATCAAATATCTCACAGGTTTTATTTTTTATTCCAGTATATCTATGAAAGAATTTAGTGTTTCTACCTCCATACGAATTCAATTTATCCTGGATTTCTCTCTCCAAAAGACTTCCTCCACCATGTGGGCACTTTATGGATCAGATTGAGCCTTTCTTTCTTGATCTTGCAGAATCTCATTATGACCAAGCAAATCAATGTTATTTCAAATATTTTTTTACCTGATTCTCAACAGTCACGACTTTTTCTTGAACTAGATTAAAAGTTATTTCATTTCACTTCTTAAGCTTTGTTTTCAGGATCTTCATCTTTTTATCCAATATGAACATTGGACAACCAACCCCTTTGGTTTTCCATACACGAGAGACAAGGTTAAAGCAACCACCAAGAAGGGACCACATTTGCATACATTTGAATTGTGAAGTAAATTTGACTTATTTTAAGTTAAAGAAAAGAAGAATCAGATAGTGGTCAGATCTCATCTTGGTTAAAGTGATGTACACCACAGTAGAGCACATGTTTAACCAAGAGAAGCTACAAACAACTCTATCAAGCATGTTCTTAATTAAAGCTCTTATTTTTACTACCATTACTCCAAGTGAACTAGTTTCCAATAATAGGAAGATGAATAATTTGCTTAAAATTACACAACTGAACTAAATATTTCATATAAGCTTTATTGGGAGTGTGGGCCATCTGTACTCATCAAAACTGATAATAGCATTGAAATCCCCATTTCAACACCAAGGGATATTAAGATATAAAGACTTTAACTTATCCCACAAGTCTCTTTTATGCAAGTAGAAAATGGAAGCATACATTGTAGATATACCAAATGTTTTGTCTTGGTAATTAATGACAGCAGAGATATGTTTATCATCACAAAAAATGATATTTATATTCAAGAAATCCTTACAATAACACCAAAGGTTAGAGAGCATGACCGCCCATTTATTGACAACAAACATATTCAAGTGGCAAGATTTCTCTATTTTAGCTTGTCCATAGATATTGTCTCCTCTCCATTTGGTTTAGGCTCAGTGAATATTTCGATCTCACAATTATATTTCTCAACAAACAAAAATAACTCAGTTGCATCTCCATCATCTTTAAGGGGTTTTATATCTACTTTTAAACTACCACCATCATGTTTCCACCATATTTGTATAACCTCAACATCAAACTATGAGTCCATTCCCTTGATTAAATCACATGTTTCAAAATAGGATCAGAAATCTGGGTCTTATCCACTATATGCATACCCTTCACCACCATCATAACTTAATTTAGGGTCTTTTACGAAACAACCATTGATGTAGAATACCACCTTAAATCAACCCAATTGTTATACATAAACACATATGGTAAAATTAGTTATTGTGTCAAATATGGTAAAAAAAAGTCAAATTGAGTCAAGCTTAGTCTAAATACTAGACACATACTACATATTATATAACATCAAACTACAGTCGAACATACGACCCACAATCAACAGACAAATCCTTAAATTTGGATCAAAACTCACTTGTATTAGTACAAGACCAAATACAACATAAATAGAGGCAAAGATAAACCCCGATTTAATATTTAAATAACAATTTGAGAAGTTGAGGGAACATGTGAACCAACCCGAGCTGTAAAGTTGAAGGACCGCAAATTATGACTTTTGAATGTCTCTAAGGGACCACAAGCAACTTTCAATACATTGAGTTTAAGACCACACCAAAAAGCAACATAATTTTTTCTTACTCAGACACACCAATCTTTGATTTGGTGATTCAAATCTTCAAACACGACTACAAACCTGAACCGGCGTGACATAAGTTGAGTTGCGAGACTGCAAGTTCAATTAATGTTAATGGCGCTTGTCAATGGCCCAGAGAGAAAGAGAGAGAAAAGTTCTAAACAAAATAAATAATGAATATGAGAGTTTAAAAGGGGCTCAATTATTGTCTATTTTTGAATTAAAAATCAATGATAATTATTTTTTATTTTTGAATTAAAATTAATTATAAAATCATTTACTCAAATACATTTCTATCGTATCTAATAGTTCTTCGGCCAACGTGATACTGATATGCCAATTGTATGCCAACTATCATTTCACATTAGCTTTTGACAAAGAAGGTTAATAAGAGTGGTCAAAATTATAGACGAAAAAATTTTAAAAAATTATTAAAAAATAGTTTTAGAGAATCTAAAATTAAATTGTGAGATATTTAGAGTCAAAAAAATAATATTTAACTTAATAATATTTATATAATTTATAACTTTTAGCTAATTTTTTTTATTTAATAAGTAGTAGTTTATACCCTTTAGTTAATTTTTTTATTCTTTTGGTTAAATAGTCATCGACCACGATGAAAACCCAACCTGGTTTATTTATCATACCGGGTTATCCTAAACCAACCCGATGAAAAATGGCGGGAAATCATCTAGGATACTAGCAGGCACAAGAGTGGGTAGAACTGCTACAGTTCCATAAACTCGCCACCGCACCCTCACCGGAGCATCGTCGTTGCACCCTCGCCGGAGAAGCCAGAATCTTGAAGACTTTTCTAAGGTATGGTATGAACTTTTGATGATAAGGTGCACAACAATAAATTTGCATTTCGTTTTCAATGCCGCTTATTCTTTTTTTTTTTTCGTTTGATTGAAAGATGAAAAACAATGAAAATTGGGAGGAGGAAGAGGAAGATGAAGAAGAGGATTTGGAATTCTCTAGAAATTATTTTCTAGCGAAGGAAGTACAATCTTCGGTAAAGAAATCAAAGCGCAAAATTACTGACATTGATGTTGTTGATGAAGAGGTACCGATTGATGAATGAAAATGAACTTTTTTCTCTCGAATTTCTGCTTATACTTTGCATTTTGATTTTGTATGTGTGTAGGAACTTAGGGAAGCTGCATTGCACATTCAACCAAAGCATGAAAATGAGATTGCTCAATTACTGGATTCGTATACAGCTATGTATCCTGAATGGCTTCTCTCCCTAAGGTATGCTTCTCACCTTACAATGCAAAAGTTATTTTATCTAGAGGGCTTTTGATGTATGAAATATGTTAAAGTGCTTGTTTAAGACACTAGAAAATATATTATATCATATGCAATAGAATTAGAATTTGGCCTAACTCATCCTTACAAAACCGGTTTGTAAGGTGAGGGGTGTCACATTATATAAACTATTTTCAAACTCTATCGGTAGGACCATAACCAATGTGAGACTTGAGATTTTATCAATAGGATTCTTAATGTTTGTTTCGGTTGAGTAATGATCATATTTGCTGATAGGTGGATATATGCTTGAGTGTAGCGTAGCGAGCAACTACAACTTACTAGAACTTACTAGACAGTTGTATTTTAACAAAGCTTTGTACTATGAAAATGTAATTCATTGCATAATAGAAAAGTGCAGTGGCCATTCTATTGTCGGAGATATATAGATACAATTGGTTGAACTTTGTGATCAATCGATGTGTACTTGTGCATATGTTTATTTACTTTAGAATCAGATTTGCTATTCTGATTCTTTCCACAATAAATGTAGAATTGGAGATGAATGGAAAATGAAATCAAAGGGTAAACTGAAGTATGCTCTACATAAGCAGTCTTCATAAGCTATACCCTAGAGTTTATTAAAATAAGTTAAAGACAACTTATTTATATATAATTGCTGTATAATGTATAATAGCTTGTTGAATAATTTTTATCTTTTTAAAATGTGATTTTAACTACCATGGAAATATTGTGACCTTCACTTTTTTCTGAATGAGTCAGCTGTGGCTTCGCTCTTCTAATGTATGGCTTTGGGTCTAAGAAGGCTTTGATTGAAGACTTTGCTTTGAAGACATTGACCGAATATTCTGTAGTTGTCATTAACGGATATCTTCAGACCATTAACTTAAAACAGGTCTGTTTTCCACTTATGATTTTGCGTTCCACAGAAGCGTGTAATTATACTTTGTTGGTTGTGTAAAGTAAAGGCAGCATTGTAGATAAGTGAACGTATTAGTGAAGGATCACTAGTGTGCTATGCTCTAAGATTTGTTTTTTCTTTCAATATATTAGGTTCTAATAACTTTAGCTGAACTTCTATGCGATCAAGTGAAAGCCAAACGAAGGGTTTCCGGCCGGCAGCTCAATTCTCAATCTATAGAAGATCTTCTTACAATTTTGTATGAAGTGGAAATAGAGGACAAGGATAGTTTTGTTTGTGTAGTCATTCACAATATTGATGGACCAGGATTAAGAGACTCTGAAACCCAACAATATCTCGCCCGACTGGCTTCTTGTACCCATATTCGTATGGTTGCCTCTATTGACCATGTTAATGCTCCCCTGTGTAAGTTTATTTCATACAGTCAAATTATCTTGTGAGTATAATACTTGTAAATTGTTAGTGTAGTCAGTATTGCCACACAATTCATCTTTAGATATGCCTTGATGTTATGTTTGCTTGAATTTTTTCTGCATGTTTAAATTGGTCTATCATCATCTGCTGGAGATTTATTTTGAGTGTTTGAACATTGAACTGTGAATAGGAGCTCGAATAGTGCAATTTATAATTAACTTGGATATATCAATTACTTCATTGTTAATTCAAGATAAAAAAAAAAAGAGTATAAAGGCCTTTTTAAAACACAATAATTGAACTTTTGTTAGATTTCTGCTGCTTATTACTGGACGTGCTCTGAGGATCTGATCCTACTATGTTTTTATCTATGCTGTTTAACTGGACAATAAGACTATGCAGTAATAAGTATCACCCTTTTCGAAAGTTGAAGAACCTAAACTTTTCTTGGTATTGAAACATAAAATTGCTACTATATTATTTATTCACACCTCTGTTTTATAGTTGTTTGTAGGATAGAAATGATTAAGATTAGAACTGATAGCATTAGACAATTGGAGTGGCATGTATTGAGCAAAAGGCGGTAGAATGACTTCTATAAGCTAGTTTGGTCAAATGAGCAAAAGACCAGTAATAAGAATTGATCTAATGAAAATAGACTGCACTATCAGATGTAGAAGATGAATAAGAAAAACAGCTAAATTATTAAAAATGACTTGGATCTAAATGGCTATTTCCACCCAAGAGTCGGTGTTGATAGAACATATTGGTATCATTTAATCTATGTAGGAGTTGAGAAATAACTCTTATTGCAGTAGGGGGAAAAATGAAGCATATGTAACTATATGAAAGAGTTTTTGCTGCTTCTGCCAATTCCTTAACAGTTACATCTTCTGTTGGCAGTTTGGGACAAAAATATGGCTCACACACAGTTCAATTGGTGCTGGTATCATGTTCCTACATTTGCTCCATATAGGATTGAAGGAATGTTCTATCCTCTGATTCTTGCACACGGCAGTGCCAGCCAAAGTGTCAAAACAGCTTCAATAGTTTTGCAAAGTTTGACACCCAATGCCCAGAGTGTATTCAAAGTTCTTGCTGAATATCAACTTTCTCATCCCGATGAAGGCAAGTTTCTATCATTTTACTTAAATATCACACTGTTATTTTCGTATATATTGTTTCTTAAACTGTTTTTATCTCTCCAGGAATGCCAATCAGTGATCTCTACTCAGTCTGCCGTGAACGCTTCCTCGTTAGCAGCCAGGTTACCCTGAATTCTCATTTGACGGAATTTAAAGACCACGAGCTGGTCAAAACCAAGAGACATTCTGACGGTCAAGATTGCTTGCACATCCCTCTAACAACAGAAGCACTTCAAAAAGTTCTACTCGAGATCAGTTAGTACCGGGATCATGATTCCAACGAAATTTTATGAAACCAAACAAATTAGTTCATATATTCATGCATTATATATTAAATGGAATTCAAATCATCTGAAGCTCATTCCCAATGGGGAGGAACCTTATGAAGCAAATTTTAGTCACTAAATCAAGTTTTGTTCTTGATCTGAAAAAAATGTTTTGATCGTGAAAACATTTGAACCTATGTTTTGAAGAGATAGGGACAGGTCCTCTTCTCAGCCTGATAGGATGGACCATTATGTCACGAGAAATAAATACCAAATGTTTTATCAATCTAAAACACTAACATGGTTGTATGTTATAACATTAATGAATAGTTTACAATTGTTGTAGACAAGGTCACACCAATAATAATCAGTGAAACAGAATCACTGCATTTTCGTGGTTACAAGTATAACTAGATTGTAGTTAGAATAATATTTAGTATATAGCGCAAGTAATGGGGTGATTGTGAGTTGTGCTGGAGAACACGCGTATTTGAAAGTGTCTTGTTTGAAAGCCACACTCAGTTGATAAAGATGAATATGTTTACAGCTTGCAAAAAACATGTACAACTTTATGTTGTCTGGCTTGACTAGTTGGTTGAGCATCTAATACGCTAAAAGAATTCTTAATTGATAATGTAAAGAATAATATCATATTGTTGGGGTCTACTCTTTTATATAATGGAGGCTTAAGCCATTGAGCCATGTAAAATTAGCCATGGTTTTTGATAAGTTAAGGAAATTACCATTTTTAACCATGTAAAACTAGTTTAACTACCTATTAAGCAGAACAAATGTGTATCAAGATCCGATTTAACTATGGTGTAACCGTAGATCGGTTTTAATTGAACGGTTTAAATTTGTCCCCTTAAAATTTAAGTGGCAAAATAATGATTTAGTTGATAACTCTCTCTAATTTGATAGGAAAAGTGGAAAATGACACTCATAGACAACAGACAAATTAAGGTGTTGTAGTACGTACTAGGTGATAATAACTGGTTAATGATTATGGATACATAGTTGACTCTTTCGGTAACAAAAAGTTTGGAAATTTTTTAATTAAGCTGTCACGCGCCTGCGTCTATTCACGATGACTTGCTCCAATTCATTTTTTCCAATGAATTAATTAAATTAAACTCTATAGGCTGTATAGTACTGTGCTGCCCAAAATGTTATACACAAAGACTTGGTCAAAATGTTACATATAGTACTATAATCATGATAAGTATGACATAAAAAAAGAAATCGAGGAAAAAGAAAAACTGCCACTATAAGTTTTAGGCATTGACCATTTTCATTTCAAATTTTCTTCCTAAGATTTTAATTGATCACATGGGCAGTGATAAACACGCGCAAGAATGAGAATTTAACTTGTTTTGGTTGATCGGTTCCATTGATTACTTGTAAATGGAGGCGACAATTGCGGGTCTTCGCCATTGATTTCAAAGGATTAGGTTTTTTATTTGACAAAATTTACTTTGTTAGTAAAATATGCCACAAAAGTTAACTTATAAAGAAGAAATTTGTAGCGGAAGATTTATATCTTAATTGACAGCTGATAATCCATAATCTAACGGAGTCTAGTTGTAATGTTTGATAAATTAATATTAAATTAGTTTATAAATAAAAATTATATCTAATTTTATAAAAAATTGAGGGACATATGAGTGATCTATATATAATTTGTCCATCATTTATATCAGAATAGATATCTAAGGGTCTAATATTCAACTAGATAAGGGTGACAAAGTCTATACATTGTGTTCAATATATACATGAAGGCAAAAGAGTAGTTGTATGCACAAACATTATCGTGGAAAGATTTGTCAAATCACATGTCATTTTCATGACTTGGATAACAATGATGTGTTGTTAAATACTGCTTACAGTTTATTATATTAAACGTGTTATTTAAATAATTATCAACGTCATAAGAACTTACATGGTCACACACATAAGAACAAATTGACGATAGATCGAATAAATAAATGAAATAAAGAACATCATAAAGTATGTTGTACTTAAGAGAATTATAGAACACCGTAATGTATAATGCACTTAAGTGAATTATAGAACATGGTAAGGTACAATGCATTTAAATGGAATGCGGAATACAATAAATTACCATGCGCTTAAGTAAAATACAATACACCATAAGATACAATGCACTTAAGTAGGCTTTTTTTAGCCTGCAGCTCACTCGTGTTCCGGACTGACCCAATGGCTAGGCATGAATCAATCCCCTTCTGCACCCAGAACGATCCAATAGCCTTAGTCCTGCCATCTAAAGGCAAAATGAAGCCTCATCTCCCCTGCCCCGCTGTCGAGGAAGGCTGGCCAGCTGACCTCTAGGATCAACTGTCCCTCGTCACATTCCTACCCGTCACGCACAATTTCATCATCCAGAAGCAGTCACGACGCCTGTGTCAGCGACCACGCATTTGCCTGTGGCAATGACTAGTTTCGAGCACCTATGCCTGTTCCAACAACTAGTTTGTGGTAGTTACCTATTCTTTAGGAGCGAATATCTCGCCCCGAAAATAGGGACCAATGACCATGCGCTAGGGGCATTATAAAAACCCTTTCACTTGAGGGGCTAAGGTATTCTAAATCATTCCAAATCACCATAAGACATACACTTTTCGTACTTGCCTTCTCTTCTCCGGTTTTTTACCAGCATCAGAGTGCCTTAATGGGATTTGAAGGGACGGAGTGTCACGTGTGCATCGAGGTACGCGCTGCATTTAATGCGTAATGATGGCTATGTTAGGGTCATGATGATGCCCTATGTCGTGCGTGCGTGTGCACACGCCCCTGCTCTGCCTATAAATAGGGGAAAGAAACACTCATTTTCACTTTTCGCTTCTCTCTCCTTTCTTGCTGCTTGTCTTGGATTCTATCGTCCGCCGCCGTACGAGCATTGTCAATCTTTCGTCGACCAACCCATTTCTTCTTTGACCTTGTAAGTTTTCTTTGTCTTTTCCGTTTTACGTGTTTTAATCTTCATTTCTCTTAGATTGCATGTACTTAGGATGAAACTGGGTAGAGTAGGGATGGTTTATGGTGAATGTTGGTGGTTGACAATGGTTAAGGAATTTTCCGTCGCCGTCGCCGAAGCGTCAGGGACTTAGGATTTTTGTTGGTTCTGACGTTGTTGCGACGATGAACGAGTTAATCGCCGATGGAGTTCATGCGTTTTCCGGTGTATTTATGAGTTTTCCGGTGTACTCATGAGTTTTCCAGTGGACCTTTATCGGAGTTCTGGTAACGCACTGGGGAGGATTTCCCCGCGTGGGTCTGAGGGATTTCCAAGGGCATCTTCTCGCATTGTTGCTGAGCTGTTTAAGTAAGGGCTTAGGTCGAGGACATTGTCCTCGAGCACCCTTTCACTTGACTAACAGTGGAAGGGTAGATTTGACTTTGTCATAGAATTCACTTTTGTCCTCTACTTTTCAGGTAAAGAAGATGTCTCACGACCCTATAGATGAAGTCACAAGGGAGTTATTTGAGGAGAGCTCTTCGGATGACAGTAGTACTGACAAAGGTTTCTGTCCCAGGGATGTTGGCAAAATTTCTGTTCCTAGTAGTTCTGCGGGAGACTGGGTTGTCACTGAACCTCGAGAGCATGCCTACCTTTTCGCTTTTCATGCTCACGATGCTTTCACGACGGTAAGGGTTGAGGGAGATTGGAAGGTTCACTTCCCTGGGGATAATGATCGAATATGCTCGGCATACGGGGAGAGGTTCCCCATGTACGAGTTTTTATTTAAAGAGATCGGGCTGAGGCTGCCTTTCACAGACTTCCAAGTGGCAGTATTCAGCCATCTAGATTAGGCCCCCTTCCAACTGCACCCGAACTCGATTGCCTTCATCCGGGCATTTGAGATCACTTGTGGATTTTTGAAGATTGGAGCAACTCTCCCCCTCTTCTTCACCGTCTTCCATCTTCAATGCCAGGTTGTTCGAAGGCGGTTATGCTGGGTCAACCTAAAGTTAGGGAGGAAGTTATTCAAGCTCTTCTCCAAGTCTATCAAGACGTTCAAGGAGAGGTTTTACGTTGTTGAGCCCGTATCAGATAGGGCCAAAGACTTCTCATTCGTCTGAGAGGTTACGACGGACGAGAACGGGGAGCCCACCATTGACGAGGAAGGCAAGGTACATGGGCAGAGGTAGCTGAAGTTCCCCTTCGAAGGCTCATCCCTCGCACTTCTTCGGGCAGAGTCTTTACAGCTCGAGGAGCTGAATTGTCCGAGCAAGTAGACGATGCTGGCCCAGGACACCGCTGCCCTGATGAGGGTTTTGGGAATGACCATGGTCTACATCGAAGAGGGGTCCCTTCGAGAAGTGGAGTTGAAGAAGGTGTAGGCCGCGAACGCGAATCTAAAGGAAAAGTTGTGGGTTGCAGAGGATGCAGCAGAGAAGGTCAAGGAGGACCTGACTACGACCACCGAGGAGGTAGCAAAGAAATACAAGGATGAGCTAGCCCAGGTTACCGGGGAGAGGGACACCCTGGCCACAGAGAAGAAATCTGCGGAGGATTGTGTAAGAATTGCCGATGACACTTTCAACAATGTTGTGGGGCAGCTGAAGATTACGAACCCCGAGGTAAAGCTGTCTACCGAGTGGACCGGGTTCCTCTACAGTGCGGTGAATGGCCAGATCATAATCCCAGACTTTCTTCAATTCAATGAGGAGCAGGGCAGCCTGTCCTCGACGAGGCTCCGCCGACGGCCTCATGATTTCCTTTTTGTTGTATTTCCGACCTGTAAGCTGTATCCTTGTATTTTATCTTTTTGTATGAGATGTGGTCCTCTTTTTATTGTAACAAGTACAATTGCGGACCTCGTGGCCATATTATATGTTAATTTTTTTCGTGTATGATTTATTTTTGGTGCATGTTTTTACTTTGCTTAAATTCGCTAAGTGTTGCACGCTGCTCGTTACTTGTGCTCGTTGTATGGGTCACTCAAGTGAAAAATTTCATCAAGTATTAGGAT